AATGGTTTCTTTGACATTTTGGTTGTTAGCCTTTGCTTTTAGCGGCTGTGCCAGCCCTAGAAATAGTTTCTTAAATCAACTTAGTAGTTAACTCTACGTCTTTCTTATCTAGATACATACCAGGAACTCTTAAAATTATCTGAGCATTTCAGACCTCAAAGTATAATGTTGGGTAAACTGAGGGTTGTAAAAGAATGCCAGATGGTTGAAAAGCAATTGTGAGCACTCCAGCTAGTGCTGTGCTTTGAAAGCCAGCTGGATAAGCCTTCTCTGCACTGGAGGAAAGAACCAGACACAATTCCATGCCAGCTGGTCCATGAAGAGCTGTCCAGTGGCCTTACTTTTCCTTCGTCACTCTTAGAAAGCCAGCTTGGGCCTTCCATCTACCCTCAGGATAGTCACGCCACAGATGTATTTCCCCTTCTTTTTTTTTTTTTTTTTTTTTTTTGTCCTTCTTTGAGACACGGTCTCCCTGTAGCCCCAGCAGCTGTCCTAGAACTCGCTATGTAGACCAGGCTGGCCTTGAACTCACAAAGATCCACCTGCCTCTGCCTCCCAAGTGCTGGGATTAAAGGCGCGCACCACCACGCCTGGCTAACACATATATTTTCACTGGGCTTCCCTCTATGGTGTTTGCTCCAGGGAGTTGAAGCAGACCTGCAGTGTTCAAGGAAAGGAAGCCACTTAGCTCTGCAAGTGAACCTCATGTTAGTTATGAACTGCTTTGGAACAGTTTCATGCAACTTGAATTTTTATGGATTTAATGCTAAGTATAGAAGAATTGTTTGGCAATAAAGGTATATGTTTTTATATTGGGACTTCTAGTTTACCTGCTTTCAATTTCTTGTTTTTATTTATTAACTGTTCTAAAAATGAGGTTTGCTTGTTTTTATTTTCATCTCCTAAAGTTTTGATCATTTGGGTTAGTAAAATTTTTTACCTCATTATAAAGTTTACTTCTTTATAAAACCATAGACTTATCCAAGTGTGGTGTTTCACGCCTTTAATCTCAGCACTCCAGAGGCAGTGGCAGGTGGATCTCTGTGAGTTCAAGACCAGCCTGGTCTACATAGTGAGTTCAGGCCAGTTGGGGCTACAGAGAGACCCTGTCTCAAAAAGACCAAAAACAAAACAACAACCACAAACAAACAAACACATAGGCTTCAATAGAAGACTACTTCTATATATTATCTTAAAATTTGTCTCATTTTATTTGTCACTTCTATTTTCCTGACTAGACAGGTGCTTGTATCAGGCACAATCCTTCACTTCCTTTAGCAAATTTGATATAATAATTAAGAGCAAAGAAGTTTAAACATGGCACTGCATTCATCTCATTTGGATTCTCAAAATTAGTAGCCACAACCATAATTAGTATGTTGCCTTTTTTTCTTCAAATTTAAGCATTAAATGGTTCTGTATTACCTATATTTGTTAAGTTCATCTAAACAAACCACCCCCCCAAAGAAAAACCTATGAACTACCTGTATTATTACTCTCTCCCAACTATGAGCATGTAAAATTATACTTTGTGATCTAAATTTTAAATAGGTGCTGAATATCATATCATATAATAATAGTCTCCAGCTTGGATTAAATTTATGCATGACTATAATTAAAAGGATTTTTTTTCATCTCTGAAAATAGCCCAGAAGGCTTGCTTTTTTCTTTTTTTCTTTTACTTTTTTTTTTTTTAATAAGGTCTTGGGGCTGGAGAGATGGCTCATTGGTTAACAGTACTTGGCTGCTCTTGCAGAGGACCCAGGTTAGTTGATTCCCAGCACCCACATGGTGGCTAATAATCAAATGTAACTCCAGTTCCAGGGGAATCTGACACCGAGTCTTCTGACCTTCACAGGCATTGCACAACATGGATGCACTTATACGCATGCAGGCAATACACTTATACACATAAAAAATAAAAATAATAAATAAAATATGTTTTTTTTTTAAAAGATAAGGTCTCAAAAAGGGGGAGGTTGTGCTGGAGAGATGGCTCAGCAGTTAAGAACAGAAGTCGTGAGTTTGAATCCCAGCACCCACATGGCAGCTAACAGCTGTCCATAACTCCAGTCCCAGGGGATCTCACAGCCTCTTCTGACTGCCGTGGGCATTGCACAACACAGGTGCACTTACCTACATGCAGGCAATACATGCATACACATAAAAATAAAAAAAAAATTAAAAAAAAAAAGTCTCACTGTGTAGCCCTGGCTGACCTGGAACTCACTATGTAGATCTGGCCAACCTCAACCTCCACCTGCCTCCACGTCCCAAGTCTGAGACTAAAGGTGTATACCACCACACCCAGCACTGGCTGCTGTTGCAGAAGACCTGGGTTTTGGTTTCTAGCACCCATGTAACTCCAGTTCCAGAGGATTCAGTGCCCTCTCCTGGCCTCCATGGGCATTGCATGACATAGCCGCACTTACATCACACAGGCAAAACATACATACACATAAAAATAAATCAAAAAATTTAAAATCACAAAACAGTATTAATAGCTACAGATACTTTACTAAGAAAAATCATCTTTCATATTAGTAAAAACACTTTATATCTGTAGCTTTACAGGTATTACTTATTTATTCCTTTCAACCACCCTGAAAACATTGTTCATGAATGGTCAAATTAATCAAAGAAGTAACCTATTCAGATTAACAAGTCAGGGGCCAGGAGGTGTCTCCATAGCCATGACCTATCACAATGATGTCAACTTTCCTGAATGTTCAGCTGTACTGCACTGCTGCTTCTGGAGGGCTGTTAAAGGAATTGTAGAGACCTACTGTAGAATAAGGAGAGTCAGGAAGGTCTCTATGTGTTTCTCTTCTCATGCTCTTGTACAACTACTACAGTAATTAAAAAGGAAACAAAAATGACACATTAGAATTAGAATGATACAAAGAGGATGGCATAAGTTTCCTAGAGTTCCATAACAAATTACCATAAAGTTGATGGCTTATAACAATTTATAACAAGTTTATTCTCTCACAGTTCTGGAGTTCAGAGGTTGGAAGTCAAGGTGACAGCAAAACTGCTGCACTCCCTGCAGAGACTCTAGGGGAGAATTCTTCCTTCCTTTTTCTAGCTTCTCTCATAGACACTTTATGAGAGAATAGATTGAATCTACTTAATCCAGAAAAACTTGAATCTCCAAATTCATAACTTTTCTTTTAGCTTTTGAGACAGCCTTGCTATGTCACCTTAGCTGGCCTGGAACCCACTATATATACCATGCTGACCTCGAACTCATAGTGATCCTCCTGCTTCTGCTTTCTGGAATTATACTACCACAACTATGTTTATATCTGCAAAGACCCTTTTCCTAAATAAAGTCACATTCAAGATTTCTGGGACAGATTTTTTTTTTTTTAAGACACCATTCCTTGGTGATAATTTTTAGTTTTAATGCTGTGTCACACAGAATCTCTGATTCAAAAGGTATCCTCAAACCAAGATACAAAACAGTGAAAAGTGTTGAAAGTATAGGACAGAGACTGGACTTCACAGGAAGGGTTAGGGGATCAGAGCATATTTCATGAAGGTTGAGACAGACCATAAAGGGTAAACAACTTCTTATCAAATGATTGGGGTGATACTTGAGATGTACTGATACTGAAGTATCAAGGACCAAAATAGGGTGATATCTTCAGGGAACTATAGCTAATGCATTTGACTAAGGTGTAGTATTTAGAGAAAAAGTAGAAAGCCTGGGCTAATCATGAGAGGTCCTTGGTGCTAAGTTGATGAGTTTGTACTTGGTTAGAGTTGCTTACGTATGAGAGCATGTTAATGATTTTCTAACAGGCCTTCAGAGCTATATAAAACCCTTGGGGGAATAAATGTAGTTTTTCCAGTTTATTTTTATTTATTTTGTTTTATCTTTGAAACAGGGTCTTGCTGTGTAGCTCAGGATGGCCTCAACTTTGCAAGTCTTCCAGTCTCTGCCTCCTAAGTGCTGGAATTATAGCATGTACTACCATGCTTGACATCTGTTTATTTTCAAGAGAGAGACTCACTGTGTAACTAAGTTAACCTTGAACCTGTATAGCCCAGACTAGCCTCAGACTTGTGACATTCCTGCTGGACATTATTCAGCGTGCGCTACCATACCTGGCTGTAGATTTTTTTTTCCTAATGGAGAGATTTTCAGATGGGCTCCTGGTTCCTTTTTTTTTGTTTTTTTTTTTAATTTTATTTATTTTTATTTAATGTTTATGCATGTATTTCCTGAATGTAGGTAAGTGCACCCGTGTTGTGCAATGCCCACAGAGGTCAGAAGAGGCTGTCGAGCCTGGGACTGGAGTTAGAGACAGTTGTTAGCTGCCATGTGGGTGCTGGGATTCGAACCCAGGTCTTCTACAAGAACAATTAGTGTTCTTAACCACTGAGCCATCTCTCCAGCCCCACTCCTTTTTTTTTTTTTTTTTAAGTTAAAATCAATGCTCTAAGACTGGAGATTTAGCTGTGAGGTTAAAGAGCACTTGCCTGGCAAGTGGGAGACCCTGGGTTTAATTCCTCAAACTACATAAAAAAAAATGTTCTGCCCGGCAAGCCAGTGGCGCATGCCTTTAATTCCAGCACTTAGGAGGCAGAGGCAGGCGGATCTCGTGAGTTCGAGGCCAGCCGGGTCTACATAGTGAGTTCCAGGACAGCTGGGGCTACAAGGAGACCCTGTCTCAAAAAGACCAAAAAAAAAAAAAAAAAAAAAAAGTTCTAATTACAAGTGAAATATTTTATGCTTTCAAGATATTTCTGGAAGACTTGGTTTTCTTTTTACTTTACTTTGAACTGCTTGGGGAGACAATTTAAAAAGCAAGCTCTGAAGAACCTTAGTACTACATGTGGAATACATTCTGAATGTTACATGTTAAGAGTTAAAATACAGGGCTAGAGAGCTGGCTTAGCTGTTAGGCGCTCTGGCTGCTCTTGCAGAGAACATGGGTTTGGTTCCCAGCACCCACAAGGTGGCTAACATCTGTCCTTAACTCCAATTTCAGGAGATCTGATTCCCTCTACTGGCCTCTCTGAGCATCAGATGTGGATGTGGTACCTTACTTGTATGCAGGTCAGCAAAAATATGCATAAAATTAAAATCTTTCTTAAAAAAAAGTTAAAATACTATTTTAGAAGAGATGTGACGTAATCAAACAAAAAAACAGCATTCAGTTCTTTCTTTAAAAATGTATTTTTTATTATTTTTTAATTACGAGTACGTGTGAGTGCAAGTGCCCACAGAGGTGTTAGGTCTCCCTGGAGCTGGAGTTACAGTTATGAGCTACCTGATGTGGTTGCTGGGAACTGAACTCTGGAAGAGCAGTACACTTTTTTAACTGTTGAGCTATATCTCCAGCCCCCAGCATTCATTTCTAAATGAAGCTGTGACTTCTATTTTATGTGCCTGTTGTCTCTTTCAGTTCACAGCCACAATCCATTTAGAACTTCAGAATTCCATAAAAACATGACACCAGCCAGTTCTGGTAGTGCACACCTTTAATCCCAGCACTAAGGAGACACAGAGGCAGGGAGATCTCTATGAGTTCAAGCCTGGGCTACATAGCAAACTCCAGGCCAGCCAGGGTATCTTGGCAGTGGTGCACGCCTTTAATCCCAGCACTCAGGAGGCAGGTGGAGGCCAGCCTGGTCTACATAGTGAATTACAGGCCAGCCAGGGCTACGTCTCCAAACAAACAACAAGGAGAAAATGGGTATTTTCTGTATAATTCATTCTGCTTCTACATATTCAACCAGTAAGTTCCTTGATCCCTGTTGGTCCCTTTAGTTTTTGCCTGAGATTACTACCAGTTAATAGACTTAACTGTATTGCTTTTGAAACTTCTCTATTAGTAAAGTAGTTCTGTTTTTGGGGGGTCTCTGTAGCCCCAGCTGGCCTGGAGCTTGCTGTGTAAACCAGACTGGCCTCAATCTCACAGAGAGATATGCCTGCCTCCACCTCCCAAGTGCTGGTACTAAAGGTAAGCACCACCATGCCTGGCTAGGTTCATCTTTTTAAGTTTTATTAGGAAGAGTTGAAAACATAAAGGTAGGGAGTAGTACAGCATCTCCCATGTGCCCTTCTCAGGTTCAGCAGTCACCCAGGTTCGTCACATTAATGTCTTTTAAACTTTTCTCTTACACCTTCCTTTGCTGAGGTATCTTAAAGCCAGTTCCAGGCACACTGATCATTTTGTGGCTTAGTCAATTGTATCTAGGGCCATTTCTCCTCTTTTTGTTCTATATCATGGACTTATCACAGAATTAGGTCAATTGTCCTGTGACTCTCACATGGGATTTGTCTGCTTGTTGATCTACATGGTGCAGTTTGTTGCTCTGTTACCTGTGATTACTCAATATTGCATCACATCCAGAAGCCTTATATATCTGGCTATCCCACTTCTTTGTGTTGCTAAAAAAAAAAAAAAAAACATAGTGATGGTCACACCAGTATAAAATATTTTATTTGGTGGCAAAATGATGACTTTTTTTATTCTGTCATCTCTTCTGTGTTCATTAGCAAGAATTCTGTAAAGGAGACCTTAATGTCTTTGCAGGCCTATTTGGGGTAACCATAAAATACAGTTTATGTTGGGCGTGATGGCACACGCCTTTAATCCCAGCACTTGGGAGGTAGAGGCAGGTGGATCTCTGTGAGTTTAAGGCCAGCCTGGACTACATAGTGAGTTCCAGGACAGCTGGGGCTACAGGGAGACCCTGCCTCAAAAAAAGAAAAAATTACAGTTTATATGAGAGGCTGCCCACTGTAACTGTAGTGTTGTCTTGATAAAAGATAGACTTAATCAGAATAGATGGAATTGAGTTGGGAATTTAATATTTTGTCTTCCTGTGTGTTGCCTTTGTTTCTGAGTACTATATCAAAATGTGAATTATTTTTCTTTTACAGTTGACATATGTATTCCAATACCTCTGAAATGTAAAGGTGGAAATATATGAAAGCCTTTTACAGACTTAACAAGCAATGGAAATGAAAGAATACTAGATTAGGATAAAAAGTCAGGGGATTCTCCAAATTGATTTGACCCAGTCCTTTTTTAAACGTATCTGAATGTCAAATCCACTCATCCTTCATAAACTATAGTCTGTAGTAGATAAATATTACTCTAAAGTTCCTAAGAAATTCATGACTCTGGAACCAAAGACAAGAAATAAAGAAAAATTTACTACAGAAGATATTGGTTTTAAATTTATTTACTCAGGGATATGAAAAACAGTGACATTGGCATATCTTCTTCTAGACCTGCTTGCTTTTATTTATAGGGTCTCCCTGTAGTCCCAGCTGGCTTGGAACTCGCCATGTAGACCAGGCCCATCTCAATTTCGCAGCCTGCCTCTGTCTTCCAAATTGGGATTAAAGGTGTGCGCCACCACACCTGGCTGACCTGCTTTCTTCCTAAGCAAAATTTTAGTTTTAGAGATAACCTTTGATCTAAAGCTATCTGGATTACAAAAAGCTCTGCTTCCCTGTATCCCATCTGGCCTTCTCTTGACTGACATTTTTTTAAAAATTGTAAGGAGCTGGAGAGATGGCTCAGTGGTTAAGAACACTGTTCTTGCAGAAGACCCAGGTTCAAATCCCAGCACCCACATGGCAGCTAACAGCTGTCCATAACTCTAGTCCCAGGGAATCCGATAGCCTCTCCTGACCTTGAGCATTGCACGACACTGGTGCACTTACCCACAAGCAGGCAATACATGCATACACATAAAATAAAATAATAATAAATAAATTTTTTTTAAAGTTTAAAAAAACTATACTACTAAAGAACCTCACTTGTCCAATTTTTAAAAAAATATTTTATTGACAGGTGTGGTGGTACATGCCTTTAATCCCAGAACTTGGAGAGGTAGAGGCAGGCAAATCTCTGAGTTTGAGGCTAGCCTGGTCTACATAGAGCGTTCCAGGCCAGTTGGGACTACAGGAGACCCTGTCTCAAAAAGACAAAAAAAATTTTTTTTATTTTTGTTGTATGAGTGTGTGTTGTCTGCATGTATGTAAGTGTACCCATGTCATGCAATGCCCACAGAGGTCAGAAGAGGGCATCAGATTCCCCTGGAACTGGAGTTACACTGGGTTGTTAGCTGCCATGTGGGTCCCAGGTCCTTTGCAAGAGCAACTAGTGCTCTTAACTGCTGAGCCATTTCTCCAGCCCCTGTCACTTGTGCAGTTTTTATGATTTTCCGAAGTATAACAGATTCTTTTTTTTAATTTATTTTTATTTTTATGTGTATGAGTATATTGCCTGCATGTAGGTACCCATGTCATGCAATGCCTGCAGAGGACAAAAAACGCCATCAGATCCCCTGGAACTGGAGTTACAGACAGTTGTTAGGGGCCGTGTGGATTCAAACCCAGGTCTTCTGCAAGAACAACCAGTGTTCTTAACTGCTGAGCTATCTCTCCAGCCCCCAGATTCTTAGTTACCATGAGACTTGGACTATTTGAAGGCTACTAATTTGAATACAGTCTGATCCAAATTTTTTCCTTTTTCTTTTTTTTAAATTTTTTTATTTTAAGTGTATGCGTGTATTGCCTGTATGTAGGTAAGTGCACCTGTGTTGTGCAATGCCTGATGTGGACAGAAGAGGCTGTCAGATCCCCTGGGACTGGAGTTATGGACAGTTGTTAGCTGCCATGTGGGTGCTGGGATTTGAATCCGGGTCTTCTGCAAGAACAACCACTGTTCTTAACCACCGAGCCATCTCTCCAGCCCCCCAAAGTTTTTCTTTAGTAGTCTCTTTGCTCATTTTAATTTGGCTTTCTACCTTCCATGCTGAAGAAGCTTGGTAGTCAGATTTGTGAGGTACATACCATCTGTAAAGATAGAAATAGAGACCATAGGACATGCTTTGCTTTTTAAATGTTTTATATTCTCTCTCCAGCAACTGTTGGCCTTTTCATGCATGTATCCCTAAAATGCTGTATTTTCATTGACTACTGTTTTTACTTGATACTAGTTTTTAATTGTGTTATGTGTGTAATTGTGCATGTGAGTGCAGTGCTAAAGTTACAGGCTGCTATGAGCTGCCCGACATGGGTGCTGGGAATCAAACTCAAGGCTTCTGGAAGAGCAGTACACTCCTTAAGCATTGAGTAGTCTCTCCAGCCCCTAATGGTCTTTTTATTTAATTTTTTACTTTATGGTAAAGACTGCTATGATCACCATTTCTCTAATACTTCTTGTCTAACCTTACCTTCCTTTATTGAATAAAGTCATGCTGAGTAAAGCCTCCCTCATTTGTCCTGCTCCATTTTACCTTAACACAACTTATTTTTATTCCCAAATCCTTGTTCTGAGGAAAGTAGCCTTGATTTCAAAGGAAAATTAAATAGTGTTTATAGTAACTATCTCTTGACAATCATTAAAAGTGTGTTCTAGTGTGAGTTCTTCATAGATGAACCTGGGTGTGAACATGCTAGTCTTTTGTTTTGTTTTGTTTTGTGTGTGGGGGGGGGTTGTTTTTGTTTTTGTTTTTGTTTTTTTAGTTTTTCGAGACAGGGTGCCCTATAGCCCCAGCTGGCCTATGTAAACCAGGCTGGTCTCAAACTCACAGAGATCTGCCTGCCTCTGCCTCCTGAGTGCTGGGATTAAAGGCATGTGTCACCACACCTGGCATGTTCTGTTTTCTTAAAAAGGAAAAAGGAAGCATGTCATTATAAAAGATGCCTTAAAGGACTATAGACAGGATCTTGTTTGCAACATAGTAGTAGAGTGCTTACTTAGCATGCAGGAGGCCCTTGTTCCATCCCTAGCACCACAAAACAAATACAAAACCGTTCCCCCCCAAAAGCCTGTAAACTAAAGCAGCAAGATGGTTTTTAATCAGTTAAGCTAAGCATCACAGCTAATCATTCTCATCTAAGCTAAAATGGTTTTAGTGCAGTGAATTGACTTTCTGCTTATTGAATCTGACAGTTGCTTGTAGAAGAACTACTATGTGCAAGTTATGACTAGTTGCTGAGCAGAAGGTTCATTTCATCATTCAAATAAAGAAGATGCACTTTCTTTCTGCAAAGAGCTCTTCTAGGAAATTGTATCTCAACCTTGTTGC